CCCTTTTAGACCAGTGGTTAGCCAATATTCAGGGTCTTGTGGGTTGTTCTTGTTAGGAGGAGAAATTAATGGTACTCAGATATTTATTTGCTACAATCCTGTTTCTTTACAAAGAATTTACCCAAAGTCCTTTTCCCCTGAACACAGTAGGAAGCAAGCAATTGGAAACAGTTTCCTTGTTTAGTATTCCAAGCTTCTTTCCAGCCAGCACTCTGCCCAAACAGCTCCCTGCAATATCTTTGGAAGACCATGTTATATGAAGTATATGAATGGTTTGTGTCATTGTAAAAACAGGAATTATATGCACTCCACTGGGGGAGGGTTACCACAGCTACTCCAAGAAGTAAAAACAGTAGGGGATGTTTGTAGCAAATCACTCAGGTTATAACACCTCCAGAGAAGTAGCATCTCCTGGGGAGGTTCATGTATTCTGGTTCAGACTGGATTCTCCAGAGACTAACAGACACAAAGGACTTTGGGATAAATAGCCGGGGCTTAAACTGATTCGGGGCTTTCTTCCTGATCCAGCAAACAGATAGGACCTCCTTGTGGAAGGGTTGGAAAGGTTTTGGCCTAGTGGGGCCCCATAAGACTGATGGTGACCTCTGGTAAGCTGTGAGCATGCGTATAGGTGCATTTATTGTTTTTGATATATTTTCTCTATAATACTTGTACCTGAAGATGTGCTTGCTTAGAAAGAGCTGTGTGGTAAGTTGTAACTGCCGGCAAGTGCACTGGTCATAGCCCTCAGAGAGAAAGCAAAGCACAGGGCCTGGCCTTTTTATGCAGACTGACTTGCTGGGAATATTGCAGTATAATCCAGGGAGCTATGTAGCCTTAAAATCATTGGGTCTCTGCCCAAGAGAGGTGACAGCTGGGAGTTGGAATCCTTTAAGTGGGTGCCTTCGATGGACCATGGAGTGGGAAATACAGGTTAGCCTAAAACTGTTACAGCTCTCTCTCAGCTCTTTCTCCTTACAAGTGCGTCTCTGGCTGTTCATAGCTTTCTGTTGCCTTCTCTGTCTGCTTTTGTAGTGTTTCTGGCTGCTTCTGCTCTGAGACACACACCCCACCATCAGAATACTACCAAGCCTTCAGTGTTTGCATTCAACCGGCAGTGATGCTTCTTCGCCCACATAGCTCCACCAATCTTGCATGTGGCCCATGTGTTGGGTGATGATACCTATTGTTACAACTATTTTACACCAAAAGGCACTGAAATGCTTCTTACATTTATCCTGAATGAAGGGTAGTTATTACTCCCACCAGCTTTTCTGAGGTTTCACCCAACTCCCAGCATAACAATGTATATGTCATATAACACATGACAGCTGACTTGTTATGACTGTTTCCTTACTGATGTGGAGAGACAACAATTATTTGTGAGTAAACTTTGCTTTCTGAAGATAAATATTAGAGGAGCTCACCTTAAAAGAATGAGTGAAATACCAACTGGATGGAGAGACCCTTATGACTGGAAAAAGAACAAGCTTGCTTTTCTATTTAAAATATTACTCACAAGCCATCCTGAGAACATGTCTGACTAAAGCACACAGTATATTGTGATGCTGAAGATCTGCTTCTCGGGCACATCCGTGTCATTATGTTGTTGTTTTCTTTGTATTAATGCACTGTGGTCAGGCCCATGCAGGCCTAGATGTTATGAGAATATGAAAGTGCTGTAACAGATTGAAATTGTATACTAATGTCTATATGTTTTGAGTGTGCTATACCGGGACTGGAATGAACTCTTACTGTACTTAGATTTAGTCGAAGTAAAAATCCTAGGGGTGAATCTTCAGCTAAGCCCACTATACCCTGGGTACTGCTTGGGAAGGGGTCTTTTGTGGCCCTCAGTCCTGGAGCTGGTAGTACTGGCTGGGACCATGATATACTAACTGGGAATTGCTGGAGCACAGCAGCACTCTGGCCATACCCTCACGGCATTAGGAGGGCTGGGTGGCACAGAGCTGCTATGCCAGCTCAACACCACTAAGGGAATCCTGGGCTGGCTCCAATCTGGACTTGCTGGTAGCTGCAGTTTTGATGTTCTGGAGAAAAATGGCATCAGAACAATCAGCTGTGGAGTGCAGAGCCCTAACAAGTGAATTACCCAAGTGACACCAAAATTCTTATCTGTTACCATGAAAGCTCTATTTCTGTGAAGATGTCCTGAAGCTAGGATTGAAAAGTATTGCTGTTATACAGGCCACCAATCACTGTCCGTCATTATTACACAGTAACGAAGCCTTCTGCAGATTCTGTGCTAGTCACACCAGGAGTTGCCTTCCTTGCTCTGTCCATTTTCAGGTCCCTCTTTTCTGTCTGTCTGTCTAAATAGTTATGTAATTATCCTGTCATTACAAGATTTTGTTCTCATCACGCAATTATGGTCAATAGCGATCAAAGAAAAACGACATGGTCATGAGAGCTCTGCACAACGATGCAAAACAAAAATATTTAAATGCCCAATTTTTTGTGTTGCATAAAAATAAAGTAAAACAATTGTAGTGGTCCTCCCGCCCCCATTTGTGCACAATTTTTGATTGGCTCAAGCTGGCTTTTATGTAGCAGCAGCAATAGTCTCTGGTTCCTTGTCATGGTGATTCAGTAATACTTTACTGTTGTCATGGTTGCAGGCTTACAACTAAAGCCATCACAGTTGCAGCGCTGTTTTTATTCATCGTTTGAGTGTATAAACTAATTAAGTAAACTAACGGCAGCAGTCTATTTTCTAGGCCTTGTTTTTGTAATTCTCCATTTCAGAATCACACTATTTTTGACCATCATCCTAAAAGATCAAAATCCTGCAATGCCCGCGTCTCCTTGGGTAATTCTAGCGTCCTAAAACTGCACAAAGTTCGCTGATTATTTGAGTGCCTGAGAGAGGTCCTCTTGGAATCGCAAAGGCTTCTGGAGAATCTTTTGAAGAGCTAAAATAAAGCTGCTAGTCCATGCATTTCAACTGAGTTGCATTCCTTATTGCTGCTCTGCTCATGGCAGGCACCCAATCAAAATGTTTGGTTTCTGAGTTCATGCTTTGCTTTGTAAAAATAGTGGCAAAATGATACAGAGAGAGTCTTATCCCAGGCATGTCACTCCCCCAACAAGCAAAAAGGTCTGGGAGCAAGAAGTGATCAGGGTTCTAATAAACAGCCAAAAATACCAGCTTGAAAGTAGCGTGCACAAAATGTTCTCCTAAATCTGGACAGGGTCAACTGATTTCACGGTGTGATGTGCAAATTTATTTTCTATTTAAAAATTAGCATTAAAATAAACCACACCAAATGGATACCCTGATAACATGGGGAGGGACCAGCAGTTGGGGTGTGTGATCGTGATAGTTATGGCATGCAACAGAATTTTGATGGAAGCATGAATTTTTGTCTTTGCAAATACTGAATGAATGCTACAGCTGTATTTGAACTGAAGCTATATACAGGTCAGTAAGGGGCAATACTGACACAGTGCTTTTTGCTTACCTGTACGGTAAGGAAATGTGTGTCTTTGGGGTGGAGTCCAATCAGCAACAATGATTTAAAAAAAATAGTCAATTCAAAGTGTCCTATGGGCTGACACCCCCCCCCCCCCTTCCAAATGCATGTGGCTGTTAGCCTGGTGCACTATTGGTGATACGTAAACTATCTAGCTTTGTCCTTTCTTTAAATGTGTATTTCCTGCTGAAATAAGGTGAACATCTTAATGAGTTTCTACTGATATCACCCTAAGCTTGATGCAGCTTATCTGCACTCCAGTCTGGAGTTAAGCAGTGCTCCGTGGAGTCAGTCACTTCCTCTTCTCTCTCTTCACTTGTAAACAGCACTAGAGAAGGGAATGGAGTATGTGGAATAGGTCTCAGTTGCACGACCAGCATTTTGCTAGGTCGTTTAGGGTCCTAGGTCACTTTTGAAAATAGGTTTAAGCATCCTAAGTCACTTAAGCCCTTTTGAAATATTACTGAAAGCCTCATTCTATAAAAAGTGCATTCAATACTCTGTAAAGACATACATCATTTAAGATCTGGGTTTGTGCAGTGTGCTTGTCCCCTGTACCTGCATCTGTTAATACGCTCCTAGAGCAAAGCTAGCAGTGTACTGGTAGGGCATCTGGTCTAGTGTCCTGTCTCTAAACATCCATATAAATATATGATTCTTTTCTGAAACCTGTTAGGCTCTTGACCTTAATGATGCCTTGTGGCAATGAGTTCCACAAGTTAATAAAAATGTAGGCTGAACAAAAAAAGTCCTATCAGTTTTACACTTGTTGGCTTCCGATTTCTGTGAATGCTCCTCTTGTTTTTGTATTATAATGAGAGGGTAAATAGGAATGTCCAATATCTTTTCTATGCTCTGCATTATGTTATATATCCATATCATGCCCCCTCTTGCTTTATTTCATTTTTAAATTAAAGAATCCTGTTCTCTCCTCACACAGAAATCTTTCCATGCTAACAGTTCTTTTCTTTTTCTGTCTCTGACCCCCCCTCTATTTCTTATATATCTCATAAGATTGTGGTGACCAGACCTGGACACAGTGCTCCAGATGAGGGTGTACCACTGATTTATATAATGGCATTATAATATTTTCAGTGTAACTCCCTAACCCAGTCTTTAAACGTCATAACACTTTGTTTGCTTTTTGACTGTCACTGCACGTTGTTCAGCTGTGACGCTCAGATCTTTTACCTGAATGATTTACAATTAAGATAGAACCCAGCAGTGCTTGGGTGGTGGTCAAATTATTTCTCCAATGTTTGCTACCTTGCATTTTTCAGCGTTTAAGTTTTAACAGGTCTTTCTGGAGTCCCTTGCCCAGTCTTGACTAACCTAAATATTTCTGCATTCTCGACAAATGTTGCCACCTCACTGTTCTGTCCGTTGTCCAGGTCACTGATAAATCTGTTAAGCACAGGACCTAGCATGGATTCTTGGAATACCTCAGTGTTACCTTTTTGTTATATTGAAAACTGACTGTTCATTTGTACTTTTGTTTTTATCCAGTTTCTAATCCATGACAGCACTTTGTCACACCCTAGGACTGCTCAACGGATTTTACTCCATGATCTCTTGTGAGTGACTTTGTCAAAGTTTTCATGAAAGTTTAACTACTTTTGTCTACTGGGGTTCCTTTATCCCCTACTCTGTTGACATGCTCAGAATTCTAGTAGATTAGAGAAGTATGTTTTTCCTTTGAAGAAGCTGTGCTTTTATCCTCCCAAATTGATCTGGGTGTTTTAGAACTCTATTAAATTGTCTGAATTGCTAATTAATCTAGTAATGAAATAATAATAATCCTATTTCTTATATAGCACTTTTCATCAGTAGAGCTCTAAGCTTTTTACAAAGGAGGTCAGTATAATTATCTCCAATGCACAGGTGGGGAAACAGAGGCACAGAGCGGGGAAGTGACTTGGCTACTTAGCAAGCCAGTGGCCAAGCTGGGAATGGAACACAGGTCTCCCCAGTCCTAGCTGAGTGCTCTATCCATTAGGCTGCACTCCCTAACATTTATCAGTCTATAATTCCCAAGATCATGCCTACGCAGTTTACTTTGGAAATTGGTGTCCTGTTGCATTTGTTACTTATAGTGAATATCCTGGTTTTCCTTCTGTAGTGTTCTTCACAATGATGTGCATCTACAGTTGTGGTTTCCAACAGTTGCTGGAGTCCTTAACTATGGTGACCGAGGCTTGATATTTGCCATGGTGTGTTTTCTTTAGCTCAGCCACCGACTGGAAAGATATGAAGAGGAAGCATGCCTAGGAGCTCTGATCCTATATGAAGTGCACTGATCTGGAATTGTGGAGAGGAGAGATGAGAAAAGAGCGGAGTCTGGACAGTTGGAAGAAGGATTTTGAATTTAGCCTGGTCTACACTAGAAAATCAGGTTGGTCTAACTAGTTTGGTCAGGGGTGTGAAAAATCTACAGCTCTGAGTGGTGTAGTTAAGCCACTTTAAGCCCCCGGATAGACAGTGCTCGGTTGACCCAAAGAATTCTTCTGTTGACCATGCTACCACCTTTTGGGGAGCTGTATTATTTATACCAAGAGAATCCCTTCTGTCATTCTTAGGGATTGTCTACACTTAAAACGCCACAGTAGCACAGCTGTCACTGTAGCATTTTAAGTGTAGGCATGCCCTTTTTAAAATTACTCTGAGAAATGGCATACATCTGCATGTTAAGTTTTGTGTGACAGCGGGAGGGGGGGGGAACTGTACTCTTTTCAAGTGGAAGTGTGATTAGCATAGCTGCTGCTGGCATTCCCAGGGTTATAACTGTGGCAAACCCTTAGCTTTCTACTGTTCTGCTGATGCCTCCTTTAACTGGCTTTCAATATTCAGCATCCTTACCTGGTTTGACTAATATAGAGATTTTACCTTTTTATCATTGTCCAGCATGTAAAGGGAATTTGGGCCATATATATTATTGCCCTGTGGCTGTAGAAATTGGGTGGGGTTCTAGGTTGAATTTTCAATGGGACTTCTGTGCTCCTAAAAATCAATTAGCTTCTCTTGAAAATCACGCCCCTAATATCACTGCTGAACAGCCCGTGTTTGGGGCACTGTTAGGTGATGATTTTGGAAGCTGAGGTGCCTCCTTCCACACGCTTAGGCCCTGGGTCATTTTCATTAATCTGGCCTTGAAGAGATTGTGATACATGATTATCTGCCAAATAAATAATGTTGTGAGCTGGGTTAAACCTTGTTATAGGTTGAGTTAAAACTGATGTGTGAACATGTTCTTCAGTTCGGATAGTTGTGAGACAATTAAGAGGCCACACTTAAAACAAGGCCTACTAATCCGCCCAGAAACTAGAACCGTGAAGGCAGAGTATTTGACTGCCCATGTAGGCTTGTGTGTGAAAAAAGTCAAGCTGGGTTAAAAGACACAGAAGGTCAGAGAGTCAGAGGCAAAAAGCTAAAAGTCGAGCAATAGCCTATGAGCACGGAGTATGGGCTTGTCTACACATACAGCGCTGCAGCGTGAAGACGCTACTACGCCAACGGGAGAGCTTCTTGCATCTGTGTAGTTAGTCCACCTCCATGAGAGGTGGTAGCTACATTGACAGGGGAAGCTCTCCCATGGACATAGTACTGTCTACACCAGGGTTTTAGTCGGGATAGTTATGTCACTCGAGGTGTGGATTTTTCACACCCCTGAGCAAGGTAGTTCTACCAATGTACGTTTGTAGTGTAGACCTGGCCTATGGATCTCTGGAAAAAGTGTGTGTTTGTGTGTGTGTGTGAGAGAGAGAGAGAGAGAGAGAGAGCTTTTGGGTCTTATATTGGCTAAAAACACTTGGAGCTGTAAGCTAAGCAACTATTCCTTTGTTTCTGGTTCCTCCTGCATTCAGAGAAGCAGGACCTTTTATATCCCTTGCAAATAAACAAGATTGCATTGAAGAAAATACCAGACTCCATCATCAATTTCTGCTCCCAGCTGGAACTTTCCTGGGGCCCCAAACTTTGACTAGCCACTCGGGTCAAAAAGGGGTGACAGTAAGGGGGCTGAGAGTCCTGACAACTGAGTGGCCTTGTAAACAGATTAAGCCATTAAATATCAGGTTTCAGAGGAACAGCCATGTTAGTCTGTATTCGCAAAAAGAAAAGGAGTACTTGTGGCACCTTAGAGACTAACCAATTTATTTGAGCATGAGCTTTCGTGAGCTACAGCTCACTTCATCAGATGAGCTGTAGCTCACGAAAGCTCATGCTCAGATAAATTGGTTAGTCTCTAAGGTGCCACAAGTACTCCTTTTCCATTAAATATCATAGGTCTTGGACACTAATGGGAAGACTCTCTGCTTATTGGTACTGGGTTGTCACTTTTTTGGGGGAATGAATTGATAGTTGCCTGCTTCTCTTTTTAATCTCCCTAGCTACATTTGAACACAATGAAGTGATCTGTGAAGCCCTATTAAATGCTTGCTGTGACTGCTCTCCAGGGATTCTTGGTGCTTATGGGCCATGAATTAAAAAATAAACTACTTCTGCCTCTTTCCTTCCCTGCTCATAGGTGAAGGTAAGAGTGTTTGGCAGGTTCTTCTGCAGTGCTGGAATGAGAACCAGGTCACTGAGGAGACTGCCAAAACTTTGATGCAATTACTAACAATAATACTGTAAATGTGGGCCTTTCTCTCTCCTGTGCCACAGTACTACAGCAGGACACAAGGCTGAGAATGGAAATCTGGGACTGTCCCACTGGGAACGAGACATTAAATGTCTTTGTTGTGCTGATGGTGGTGATCTGAATGCATGATGTGGCAGGGCCTGAATGCCAGTGTGATGCTGAGTTCTAATCAATGCTGACATCAGATGCTTGAGCAACAGGATGTCCAAGAAAGATGCTGTGCCCTGCTTTTTAAAATTCAGTCTCCTTCAGTAATGTACAGCAAATAAGCTCCATTTAGATGTTCTGCAGCAAGTAATGAACACCAGAGTATCTCAGCCAAATAGAAGGCCCTACTTCTACAATTGGAACAGTTTTCATGAATCCCACTATCTGTTACTAAATCAATACTAATAGGCCAATAACAAAGAACCACCTGGATTAAAAGGAGTAGCCAGATATATTTTTCTAAGTCTGGATGATTTGCCAAGTCATATTACCATAGCATTTCTTGTTCAGCCATGGTATATGGCATTAACCAAAAATCAAGACAAAACTGACACCTTCCATTGCGCTCGGCCATGAAGTTGCTGGATCAGAGGCAGGTTTCCCATCTGAAGAGAATCTATTTTTTAAAAGAAATTATGGCTATTCTAGAAGAAGGTAGTTATACAGAGTCAAAAGTTCCTGGTAAATTGCTGTAATTTTGAGGAATGCCATTATTAAACTAAGAACAATCCAGTCGAGGCTTAATTAGAGTTAATTGAGTAAAAAAGCAATCCGTGTTTTCCACCTTAATGCTGGGTTGGTTTTTTTTTTTTTGGTTTTTTTTGTTACACCCAAATTTGGCAGAAAGCTATTTCAGTCTCTTAATTATATTTGTTTTTGTAGAGCTGCATGTCTGCTGGGAGCATCAGTTTATTCTGCAAAATGAAACCGTTTCTCTTTGACAACCAGAGTGATCAGTTTCCTCCACTTGGACAGGAACTGGGTTGCCAACACCAGCTGCAGATCTGACTACAGCAGAGTGTGTGGGGTGGCTTACCTTTAGAGGTAGATGTTGTTGCACATTTGCTACTAAGACATACTTGAAATGACATTTCATATCCTGTTATCACCAACTGAGTTTGTTTTGCAATCAAACACAAAATATTAGAAATGTCTGTTTAGATTGTAGTAATATTTTCAGTGCTGTCATCTACTTGAGTTAATTTTGAAAGCTAGAATAGGATAACTTACTGTAACCTCACCTTTTTAAAGCCGATTTCCAGATAGCATTTAGCACTAAGCGTTTGAAAGGTGCTGAATACCCCCAATTTAAATAGTGTAATTATGTGGAGACGTACTTGTAGAAAGCTTTCTCTTCCCACCCCTCAAGTAGGGTTACATACGAGTTTTTGTTACCTTTACTTGACAGCAGACCATGGCTGGCTCTAGGTTTTTTGCCACCCCAAGCAAAAAATTTCAAGCCAAAAAAAAAAAAAAAAAAAAGGGTGGCCGGAATGTCTCCCCTGGAATTATGCCTCCCCAAGCACGTGCTTGCTTTGCTGGTGCCTAGAGCTGGTTCTCCGAAAAGATTCCATAAACTCTAAAAGCAATTTTCTTTTGAAGAAATGTCCTAAATTTTAGAAATACTTAGCCTTACCTTACTTCCTGACACAATGTTCAATAGTTTGTTTTCTTTAGGAGGAGTCTATTTACATTCTACTTTATAACTGCACATTTGCAAGAAAAATTACTCAATGAAATACAGGGACTGACTTGAGAAATGCAGCCTCCAGTTTTTCACTCAGTTTTATGCTTGCAATTGATTGTGAATGTGAAAATGCCAGCTTAGAACCATTTTAAAAATCAGGCCTATTACCTTGTGTCACTAGATACGGAAAGAAGAGATTCAGAAGAATAACCTCAGTATCAAAAAGAAAAGGAGTACTTGTGGCACCTTAGAGACTAACCAATTTATTTGAGCATGAGCTTTCGTGAGCTACAGCTCACTTCATCAGATGTTTACCGTGGAAACTGCAGCAGACTTTATATACACACAGAGAATATGAAACAATACCTCCTCCCACCCCACTGTCCTGCTGGTAATAGCTTATCTAAAGTCATCAACAGGTGGGCCATTTCCAGCACAAATCCAGGTTTTCTCACCCTCCACCCCCCACACAAATTCACTCTCCTGCTGGTGCTAGCCCATCCAAAGTGACAACTCTTTACATAATCAAGTAGGGCTATTTCCTGCATAGATCAAGGTTTTCTCACATCCCCCCCACCCCCATACACACACAAACTCACTCTCCTGCTGGTAATAGCTCATCTAAACTGACCACTCTCCAAGTTTAAATCCAAGTTAAACCAGAACATCGGGGGGGGGGGTAGGAAAAAACAAGAAGAAACAGGCTACCTTGCATAATGACTTAGCCACTCCCAGTCTCTATTTAAGCCTAAATTAATAGTATCCAATTTGCAAATGAATTCCAATTCAGCAGTTTCTCGCTGGAGTCTGGATTTGAAGTTTTTTTGTTTTAAGATAGCGACCTTCATGTCTGTGATTGCGTGACCAGAGAGATTGAAGTGTTCTCCGACTGGTTTATGAATGTTATAATTCTTGACATCTGATTTGTGTCCATTTATTCTTTTACGTAGAGACTGTCCAGTTTGACCAATGTACATGGCAGAGGGGCATTGCTGGCACATGATGGCATATATCACATTGGTGGATGTGCAGGTGAACGAGCCTCTGATAGCGTGGCTGATGTTATTAGGCCCTGTGATGGTGTCCCCTGAATAGATATGTGGGCACAATTGGCAACGGGCTTTGTTGCAAGGATAAGTTCCTGGGTTAGTGGTTCTGTTGTGTGGTATGTGGTTGTTGGTGAGTATTTGCTTCAGGTTGCGGGGCTGTCTGTAGGCAAGGACTGGCCTGTCTCCCAAGACTTGTGAGAGTGTTGGGTCATCCTTTAGGATAGGTTGTAGATCCTTAATAATGCGTTGGAGGGGTTTTAGTTGGGGGCTGAAGGTGACCGCTAGTGGCGTTCTGTTATTTTCTTTGTTAGGCCTGTCCTGTAGTAGGTAACTTCTGGGAACTCTTCTGGCTCTATCAATCTGTTTCTTTACTTCTGCAGGTGGGTATTGTAGTTGTAAGAAAGCTTGACAGAGATCTTGTAGGTGTTTGTCTCTGTCTGAGGGGTTGGAGCAAATGCGGTTGTATCGCAGAGCTTGGCTGTAGACGATGGATCGTGTGGTGTGGTCAGGGTGAAAGCTGGAGGCATGCAGGTAGGAATAGCGGTCAGTAGGTTTCCGGTATAGGGTGGTGTTTATGTGGCCATCGTTTATTAGCACTGTAGTGTCCAGGAAGTGGATCTCTTGTGTGGACTGGACCAGGCTGAGGTTGGTGGTGGGATGGAAATTGTTGAAATCGTGGTGGAATTCCTCAAGGGCTTCTTTTCCATGGGTCCAGATGATGAAGATGTCATCAATATAGCGCAAGTAGAGTAGGGGCTTTAGGGGACGAGAGCTGAGGAAGCGTTGTTCTAAATCAGCCATAAAAATGTTGGCATACTGTGGGGCCATGCGGGTACCCATAGCAGTGCCGCTGATCTGAAGGTATACATTGTCCCCAAATGTGAAATAGTTATGGGTAAGGACAAAGTCACAAAGTTCAGCCACCAGGTTAGCCGTGACATTATCGGGGATAGTGTTCTTGACGGCTTGTAGTCCATCTTTGTGTGGAATGTTGGTGTAGAGGGCTTCTACATCCATAGTAGCCAGGATGGTGTTATCAGGAAGATCACCGATGGATTGAAGTTTCCTCAGGAAGTCAGTGGTGTCTCGAAGGTAGCTGGGAGTGCTGGTAGCGTAGGGCCTGAGGAGGGAGTCTACATAGCCAGACAATCCTGCTGTCAGGGTGCCAATGCCTGAGATGATGGGGCGCCCAGGATTTCCAGGTTTATGGATCTTGGGTAGTAGATAGAATATCCCAGGTCGGGGTTCCAGGGGTGTGTCTGTGCGGATTTGATCTTGTGCTTTTTCAGGAAGTTTCTTGAGCAAATGCTGTAGTTGCTTTTGGTAACTCTCAGTGGGATCATAGGGTAATGGCTTGTAGAAACTCGTGTTGGAGAGCTGCCGAGCAGCCTCTTGTTCATATTCATACACTTGTACAGATACAGACAGACATCATCTTCCTTTCCAAATGCAAACAGATGGACATCGTACCAAAAGGACTGAAGGTCAAAAATCCATTACAATCTACATACCACACAGACTATGCTGACAGCTTGTGCCTCACGCTCTCAAAGAAACTGCGGAATCACCTGATCAAGATCCTCTACAGCAAACAGGGAAAGATTAAGAATGAGCTCTCAAAAATGGATACTCTCATAAAGAACCAACCTTCCACACAAACTTCCTCGTGGCTGGATTTTACTAAAACTAGACAAGCCATTTACAACGCACACTTTGCTTCTCTACAAAAGAAAAAAGACACTAAACTTTCTAAACTACTACATGCTACAAGGGGCCACAGCAATGGTTCCCTCACCCCACCTAGCAATATTGTTAACCTATCCAACTATGCTCTCAGCCCAGCAGAAGCAGCTGTTCTATCTCGGGGCCTCTCCTTCTGCCCCTCCACCCCCACGAACATGATACAGTTCTGTGGTGACCTAGAATCCTATTTTCGACGTCTCCGTCTCAAGGAATATTTCCAAAATACCTCTGAACAACATACTAATCCACAGAGGTCTCCCTGCCAACACTACAGAAAGAGGGATTCTAGATGGACTCCTCCTGAAGGTCGAAACAGCAGACTGGACTTCTACATAGAGTGCTTCCGCCGACGTGCACGGGCTGAGATTGTGGAAAAGCAGCATCACTTGCCCCATAACCTCAGCCATGCGGAACGCAATGCCATCCACAGCCTCAGAAACAACTCTGACATCATAATCAAAAAGGCTGACAAAGGAGGTGCTGTTGTCATCATGAATAGGTCGGAATATGAACAAGAGGCTGCTCGGCAGCTCTCCAACACGAGTTTCTACAAGCCATTACCCTATGATCCCACTGAGAGTTACCAAAAGCAACTACAGCATTTGCTCAAGAAACTTCCTGAAAAAGCACAAGATCAAATCCGCACAGACACACCCCTGGAACCCCGACCTGGGATATTCTATCTACTACCCAAGATCCATAAACCTGGAAATCCTGGGCGCCCCATCATCTCAGGCATTGGCACCCTGACAGCAGGATTGTCTGGCTATGTAGACTCCCTCCTCAGGCCCTACGCTACCAGCACTCCCAGCTACCTTCGAGACACCACTGACTTCCTGAGGAAACTTCAATCCATCGGTGATCTTCCTGATAACACCATCCTGGCTACTATGGATGTAGAAGCCCTCTACACCAACATTCCACACAAAGATGGACTACAAGCCGTCAAGAACACTATCCCCGATAATGTCACGGCTAACCTGGTGGCTGAACTTTGTGACTTTGTCCTTACCCATAACTATTTCACATTTGGGGACAATGTATACCTTCAGATCAGCGGCACTGCTATGGGTACCCGCATGGCCCCACAGTATGCCAACATTTTTATGGCTGATTTAGAACAACGCTTCCTCAGCTCTCGTCCCCTAAAGCCCCTACTCTACTTGCGCTATATTGATGACATCTTCATCATCTGGACCCATGGAAAAGAAGCCCTTGAGGAATTCCACCACGATTTCAACAATTTCCATCCCACCACCAACCTCAGCCTGGTCCAGTCCACACAAGAGATCCACTTCCTGGACACTACAGTGCTAATAAACGATGGCCACATAAACACCACCCTATACCGGAAACCTACTGACCGCTATTCCTACCTGCATGCCTCCAGCTTTCACCCTGACCACACCACACGATCCATCGTCTACAGCCAAGCTCTGCGATACAACCGCATTTGCTCCAACCCCTCAGACAGAGACAAACACCTACAAGATCTCTGTCAAGCTTTCTTACAACTACAATACCCACCTGCAGAAGTAAAGAAACAGATTGATAGAGCCAGAAGAGTTCCCAGAAGTTACCTACTACAGGACAGGCCTAACAAAGAAAATAACAGAACGCCACTAGCGGTCACCTTCAGCCCCCAACTAAAACCCCTCCAACGCATTATTAAGGATCTACAACCTATCCTAAAGGATGACCCAACACTCTCACAAGTCTTGGGAGACAGGCCAGTCCTTGCCTACAGACAGCCCCGCAACCTGAAGCAAATACTCACCAACAACCACATACCACACAACAGAACCACTAACCCAGGAACTTATCCTTGCAACAAAGCCCGTTGCCAATTGTGCCCACATATCTATTCAGGGGACACCATCACAGGGCCTAATAACATCAGCCACGCTATCAAAGGCTCGTTCACCTGCACATCCACCAATGTGATATATGCCATCATGTGCCAGCAATGCCCCTCTGCCATGTACATTGGTCAAACTGGACAGTCTCTACGTAAAAGAATAAATGGACACAAATCAGATGTCAAGAATTATAACATTCATAAACCAGTCGGAGAACACTTCAATCTCTCTGGTCACGCAATCACAGACATGAAGGTCGCTATCTTAAAACAAAAAAACTTCAAATCCAGACTCCAGCGAGAAACTGCTGAATTGGAATTCATTTGCAAATTGGATACTATTAATTTAGGCTTAAATAGAGACTGGGAGTGGCTAAGTCATTATGCAAGGTAGCCTGTTTCTTCTTGGTTTTTCCTACCCCCCCCCCCCCCCAGATGTTCTGGTTTAACTTGGATTTAAACTTGGAGAGTGGTCAGTTTAGATGAGCTATTACCAGCAGGAGAGTGAGTTTGTGTGTGTATGGGGGTGGGGGGGATGTGAGAAAACCTTGATCTATGCAGGAAATA